AACCTTCAAATAATTCACCAAATCTCAAAATCTTGATTAGGTGCAATAATCTAGTAATTTTTTTTATCCTAAATTCTATTGAACCTTCGATTGCTCGAAATGTTCTTTATTTGAAGACAACAATGCTAATTTGGCTGTATTTGGACGAGAGATTCAGTCAATCTTCTGGACCACAATCGTTTTTAGTGTAGCATCAATTAGCAGACATTTCTAAGAGTGAATTTGAAGGTATTCATGAATTCTATACTCGAATTAAGCAACAATGGGATCAATTGGATGGATTAGATCCTCTTCTTGCTTGTGTATGCACTGGTTGTAGCTGTAATTTAACACATTAGTTTCTTAAGTCTCAACAAAGTCAGAGACTAATTCATTTCTGGATGAAGGTCCATGATAAGTACTCTCAAATTAAGAGAACTATTTTGATGATGAATCCTTTTCCAACTGTGTCAAAGGCATATAGTTTGTTACTTCAAGAACAAACTCATATGAATTTAAATAATCTCAAGAGTCAGCATAATTTGGAATCTGTAGCATTTTATGCCAAGAAATTCAATGATAACTGAAATTAGCTCACCAATGAAAGATTTTATAATTCTACTAGAGGTGTAGGACAAATACCTGAATCTAACTCTGCAATATCAAACACAAGAAAATTTGTGTTAGTTGATACGATTAATACAAGAGGGGGGTGAATTGTATCGAGTTCCTAATAGCTACATTTGAGGAATAATAAAACAATGCATATGGGAACTTGCAAGGACACACGGATTTTACGAGGAAACCTTCTAGGGCCCAACTAGAAGTAAAACCTCGACCCTACCATAGGGATTTCAAACACAAACCACTTCAATATAATAGGGCAAACACCAAGTTACAACCTATTAAACTTAGACCTTTGTTCACAAGTTCCACACTTGATACTCGATAGGACCCTATCCTACTCAATCTAAGTACCACACTTAGATTCACTCGTACTGCCAAAGTACAAAACTCTCAGCTTCACACTAGAAGCTTTACACAACCTGTATGCGATGTAAAAAGATAACAAACTCACCCAAATAACCCAACCAATACAAATGTATGACACTTAGTATATGATAGGCAAGCTATGCACGAAATCCGAAACTAATATGACAAGTTAGAAGCTTGGTAAACTTACTCAATTAATGCCCAGTGATTTCTCCACGCATAAACTCGCAAAAACCTTAAACCATTTCGATCTTCTACTATTTATACAACTATGACTTGTATAACAAGTAGGCTTTATAAAAGATAAATAAGTTAACTTAACTTTTCTTTAAAACACAGTTTTATGAAAATCATATTTGAAGAAAATCTTTTTCGGAAAATAAGATAGAAATATATTGTTAAAAAGAATCATATCTTTTAACATACCGATTTTAAGAAATAAAACCTTTTAGAAAATCCTTTCTAAAATCTATCTTTTATATTTTCCTTATTAATTTATTTGCCACGCTTCTAATAAATCTCGTGCATTAACCTACTTAACATATTAACAATAATCTAGAAGATAAAAACCTTAGCTAAATTAAATTGCTACGCCGCGCTTCTATACAGGTAGGTTACTTGGGCTCCACGCAGACTAAGTTTCTTCAGGGACCTTAGCTTGCTGACTTCAAGTTCCCGTTAGGGAACGTTCCTGTTAGGGAACTCAGTTCTTGTTAGAGAACTTAGTTCTTTTTAGAGAACTCTTCTTCTTTTCTGTTTAACTGTTTGTATAAAGATCTCCTCATGTCTTCTTAGTTCCAGTTACTTCTTCCATCACCACGATCAACTTCACCTAAACTAATCAAACACTTGAAAACCTTTATTCGATGAGTTTGCTTTAGTTTAAGTTCCTCATCATCAAAACCTTTAAGCTTCAACAATTTTCCCCTTTTTACTGATGACAAACTTAAGCAAACTCTTGAGAAACGTTAAACAAAATAGAAGGGCGTATTTTTATATTTTTATTTATTGACAAAAAGATAAACACGCAACTAAAAATACGAAAACAAGAAAACAGAACATAAATAAAACTAAGAAATAAAACAAGAGATAAACTAAGCTACTTTGCATCATATCAGAAGAAATTTATGATACTTTATCAACTGGAACCCAGAACAACTTTCGCTTCCAAGTTTGCTTCTTCTTTTCCCCCTTTTGGCATTATCAAAAAGTCCTGCTTTTTCAAATTTATTAAGCATCTAGCCACAACCCCATAAGAATTTCATCGAGTGTGGGAAACTGAAGGCAGCGCTGCTAACTTACCTGAAACAAGTTCCACTTTCCTGCATAAGTGTTCAAAACATACAAGTACACACAAGTATAGGCCAAGTTCCAACTATTTATTTAAAAACCAAAAGATTTAACATCCTGCTGAACAATCTAAAAATATTACAGCCAAAATTAATTGTTTAAAAACTAAAACAAAAATTTAAATTGTTCATGACTTCAAAGTGAAATAGGCTAGGCTAATATTAAGGTTGGTAACTAAGGTTGCAGAGTTAATTCTTCAGGAACTCCATAATTTGTTTGCTATCTTCCTTCTGTTTAGCAGCAAAAGAGTCAAATCTTTCTCAAGTCTCTCAATCTGCTGCTAAAACTCCAGTTTTTGATCCTTCAGAAGCTTGTCTTGCTGCTCCACAAACTTTTCTAACCTCTGAATCTTCTCAGCAGATTCTTTCACTACCTTTTCAACCAATACCAACCTAACAGTCAACTTGGCAACCTGTCCATCCAGATCCATGTCATCAGTATTTAGCTCAACTGGCTTCTCCGTACTGGTTTGAGGAGTAGAGCTTGTTAACAGTCTCCTGCTCTTCCTCCAGGCTGATCAGCCTCTTCCTTTTCTTTTATTTTTCCTGTTTCTTTCTTCTCTTTACCCTTCTCCAGTTTCTGAATCTTCCCATTCACCACCTCCAAGCTAATTCCCATCAGAGTTTCCTCATTTATCACATTTTCTGGTTTCTCCTCCAAACCTCCATATTTTCCCTTTAAGACTACTCCAAAACTTTCAAAGACTATGGACAGGATGGCTCCATATCCAACCTTAGTCTTACTTGGAACACAATGTGCCAAGTGCTGAAACATAAGCGAGGGAAAATTTATCTTTATTTTCTTTAATAAACAAAAAATCACAGCCATGTCCATTAGACTTGCTTCCCCTTTCTTTGATGTTCGAGACAGAATGGTTTTCTTTACTAAATTGAACAACAGCTTGTTCAATGGGCTTAAGTCATTGTGACTCATAATGTTCTTCCCCCTTTTTCCTCCAAGAGCTTCAACTATGTCACCACTCAAATACTTTCCAACTTTTACACTGGCCTTCCCTTTGATGTAGGTCTCATATCCAGCAATAGGTCTTTTCAGAATTTTGCCTAGGGTTCAACATTGAACTCAATTTTTACCCCATCAATTGCACTAGATATAACTCCCAATTTTACTTCAAAATTCAGACAAAACTCGGTCATAGCAATTGGGTACATGTAGTTATCAGAGGCTTTAGACAACAAATATTCCCAACCTTGGAAATTAATTAAATCAAGAAATTCCAAGAACCTAGCTTTTCTACACCAAGTCAAATCGATGCGATGACCTATAACATACCTTCCTGCTAGCGATTCAAGCTCAGCTTGATCAATGATCTCTTCATCTTCTTCCTTCTCAGAATTTTCTCCCTCCGAGTCCTCTAATTTTTCAACAAAATCCTCAACTTCTTGAATGTGTTCCTGTAGGGAATATTTCAAGCATTACCCCTAGCTTGAACCCCACTGTGATCATACACTAAAGTGTGGTGGCGTCCAAAGGGAAAGAAGATAAGAGCAAAAGAGTCGCCAACAAGTTTTAGGAACTTGTAAACCGTTCACAGGGTGAAGGTTACACCCCTTAATGATCATATGCAAGAAAATAAATGCTCATTTTATTAAAAGGAAAAAAAAGAAAGAGTCTACAAAATTAATCTAAGGGGAATAAAAAGGTGTCTATGCTAGACTTATTGGGGAAAGGGTAAATAAAAAAAAAAAAAATAGAAAAAGAGGTCATGAAATATTGTCGTTGAAGCTTTCCTCTTGTCTTGTGTCGTTTGCTTTATCATCACTCGCTCTTCTTGTTAGCTGGAGACATGGGAAGCTTGTTATTATCAATCAAATGTTGGAAATCCTCCTTTAGCTTCCAACAGCTCTTAGCAGCATGACCCCTACCCTGATGGTACTTGCAGTGTTCATCTGGATTCCAAGTAGGCAATCTCTTTTCAGGTGCGGGATCTTGAATAAGTCCAATGGGAGTAATGAGTCCCATGGCATGGAGTCGATCAAAGGCAGTATCGTAACTCATCCCAATGGGGGTGAAGTCTTTCCTCAGTTGCTTCTTAGATTCTTGGTTATCCATGGCTAAATCTTCACTGAGATCATAGGTACTAACATTGTTACTAGAGTGGGCGTTTTCGGAAGAAGAAGGATTGTCGTTCTTCTTTCCTTTCAAGCAACCATGGTTACTATTGTTAGTAGCTTTTTGCTTTGCGAGGTCGTCTTCGATCTCGATACATATGCCATAGACGGCTCTGAAGGTATTCAAGTTGTGTTGATATTTTAAGTGCTTTGAATACTTTTCTTGGATATTCTTGATAAACATCCTCACATACTCGTTTTTGGTAGGGACCTCAATCATTTTAGCGGAAGTTTCCCTCCACTTATTGAAGAAAGAAGTAAAGCCTTCACACTAGTAGAAAAACATAAAAGAGCACCGGTTCAAACCCCCCCTATAGCACCGGTTTTGAACCGGTGTTCATGTGAAGGATGCCAAAAGTGAGAATTTTTTCCACCGGTTCAGAACCGGTGCCAATAATACAGTTTTTAGCACTGGTTCGGTTCAGAACCGGTGCCCTTTATGCGCCAATTTTTTTTTTTTTTTTTTTTTTTTTTTTTGCATTTTTTTGACTTAAATTGATATATAAACACTGACATATATATAAACTTATAATTTTTTTTTGACAAGAAACTTATAATTTTTATTAATATAAAGGTGTAACATTATAATTTTAATTCAAAAAAAATAAATATAGTTTTATATTGTAAAAGACCGACTAATAATATTACAATAGTAGCTTAGAGCAGATTGGCAGCAGTGGCATAGAGCATAGCAGTAGCTAGCATCTGCAGGAGCATAGAAGCGGTAGCGTAGACCAGAAGCACAGCAAGAGCATAGAAGCATGCATCAGCAGTGATGCGAGGCAGCAGCTACTGCAGCAGCCTTGCGAGAGCCAGTAGCTGCAGGGCAGCAGTGGCAACTTTACAAGGCAGAAGCTATAGTGGTTTAACAGACAGAGAATAAGGCATATACCCTTGTTTTGAACAAGACATAAGCTATCTCTTTTTCAAGACTTGTGTGTCGGTCCACAATCACAAGAATAGCCTCAACTGAAACAATATGATTATCAGTCAATACAATTAGTTTCAATTTAGCAAATGTAAGGTGAAAAGAATATAGGTGCATTAATGGTTAGCAGTATTCAATGAAATATCAAACAGATATATCATCTAAGTTGCATTAATGGTTAGCCAGGTTCCAACAATCCCACATGCTAATTGACACATATGACATGTACAAAAAATGGCAATGCAAAACCTCTAACAGACTCAAAATCCAGAGAAATATGCAAGCAATCAATATTAGAGGGAGGGGCACATTAGTCATAGCTTATTATTAGTGTCTTGAGGAATAAGTTAGAGTTAGTTATGAGACTTTTTCTATAAATAGGCCTCATTAGTAGGAATAAGGATCATGCTGAAAATATTGTTAAGCTTTGCTTTGTTTTGGAGAGCTGCTCTTCCTCTCGAATGAAGAGTGATTGTATTGTTTGATTACTCTGATCATCAGTACGAATATCTGGTACTTAGCTAATTTTTTCTGCTTAATCACCTTCCTAATCTCTCTGATCTAAGCTAATTCCTAGCAAATAAAACAGGGATGACATCTTACTTTATCAAGAGGGATTGCCTTTGACTTGTAAACCTTCAGATCCAACTCATAGCATGTCATGTCAGCAATAATGCCCCTTGCTTTGAAAACTTCAGGAAACTTCCCACTGTATCTTCCTGATATTGTCAATGGGCTTTGTGATGAAAGATCTAGAACATTGATTAGGTGCACCTGATATTTTTATTGCAAACAAATGCAATGGCATTTAGTAGACTAATAAGCATGTTATCAATTGGGTCAGAAAAAACATGACATCTTACAGCTAGTCCAACAAATTTGCAGCTATCACACTAGCTCATTTAGTGTAAATGTTAGCAGAAAAGATTAAATAAAAGAGCTTTTACCCTGGTATTACAGCACCTGACCTATCAAATACAATGGTTTCAAAGACATGCATAACTGGCCCTTTGGGAGATATAAACAAGTCTAACACCAACTTAGTCAAACTCAGGTACATAAAGCAATGTTAGAGCTATAATGCTTATAATTTTAGAAATGAGTGTCAAACTCCGGACTGGACTCAAGAATGTGACACAAAGTTTCAATTCATTGATACACCAAATGCATACTTTCCTTTGTTATACTACTCCATAGTTGAGCATGAATGAATCTGTTCAAAACATTATTGCCAAACTTATCAGTTTCATTATCCCTTTTATCTCTATATTTTAATTAAAGGAACAGAACTCCATGTTCTAGTATTTACGGAAAAGGAGAAATCAAGGCGAAAATGTACTCTTTATTAGACTTAAAAAGACAATATAGCATTAGAATTCAACAATTCAATTCGGTCATAATTTAAGCCATAAAAAAAAATTTTAAATGACATTATTGAACAACTATCGCTCAGCATTAAACCCCCAAAATATACACAGAAGTAGTACCACTATGTTTCTGCTTAGATGAGACAGAGATCAAGGCCGGAGATTGATCTCCCTGACATTTTTAGCAAACACAGTACACACTGTTAGCAAACACAGTACACATTGTTAGCAAACACAGTACATTAGTATTCCATTTAAAAAAAACAGATTTTTGCAAGAATCATCTTTCTTTTCTGTCTTTTGAAATATGCAGAAACTATGGATGTTATAACAAAATTTTGAGGCACAACTCAATAAAAAATTTAAAAAAAAAAAAAAAACAGATGACAAAAATGAAAATTTTATAAGCAAATATGACAGCAAAACAGCACCACATTCACTGAATCTGGTCACTGGCATATAAGTGATCTAACCATGCAAGTACTCTTTCATATCTAAGCAAAAAGAGAGCATGAAAATTATAGAAGAGCATGAAGATTATGCAAACTCTAGAGGTCTTAAATAAAAAGAGTTCAGCTAGAATTCCTCACAGCAGAAGTTCATTAGAGCAAAAATCAGGCAAGAAACAAGAGCATAAATAATAAAACTAAACAAATATTTGGCATTGAGACGGGTTAATGAGTAAATAAAGAGCATTGTATATTACCTTAGTATCCAACATTATAGATATAAAATTGTCATCAAAGTGAGCATTGTATTCTCTAACCAAATCAATGGTTTTCTAATGTGAAGCATGGTCACCATGTGACATATTTAATCAAACCACATTCATTCCTTCCTCAGCTAGTTTCCATATCATTTCACGACTACTCGTCGAAGGACCAATCGTACAAACAATTTTAGTTTTTCTCCAAGCATTAGATTTTGGTTCATCCAAAAGTAAATCAATAGATTGCAGCACAAATGAACCCTATAAATAAAGTGCCAATTATTTCAATGATGCAACCAAACCATCCAAAACTCGTAACCAATCACTCATCTCGTAACAAATCTCGTAGCAAAAAACAATGCATTATATTCAAAACAATAACATCAATTTCTCTAATTAAAGACACTTAACTATCATTCATTAAATGCGATATTCTTGTTAAATATGAATTCAAATATCACAATGAATTAATCAATTAAACTGGACAAATAAATAGAAATTATATAAAAACTTACTGGAGGGATAAGGCCATTGGGAGAATCAACACTAGTAGCAGGTTCAGTGCTTTAATTTTAACAGATCGAACAATGAAGGACTCCTTCGATAAAAATCATTTTGCGCTTCAATTTGACATCAATCTGAGCAGCTAAATCTTGCACAGTAATCACCTCCAACATTATACACAATACAATCATGCAAACCTATACATCCATGCAACCAAATTTCCATCACTAAGCAAATTAATCTAACATTTACAAACAACAAAAACCCTAGAAATTGAAAAATAAATCAAATTAACAATAAAAAAAAAAGGAAAGTATAAACATACCAATAACCAAGATCAGAAGCAGAGGACTCGAGAAGAGTTATACCCGTTACCATCACCGCCGGTGAAGAAAACGCGCTGCCGTGTATGGTGAAATTAAAAAAAGAAAAGGAGAGCGATCCAGTTTATGATAAAGGAGAGATAGAGACGGCGCCGCGGGGTGGAATGGACGGCGACACGGCGGAGCTGAGAGATACAAGAGAGATCTAGTTTAGGAGAGAGAGAGAACGATCAGAAGGAAAGAGAAAGAAAGAATAGAGGATAGAGGGAGAAATAAGAGGGTTGGGTTTTTTATTAACAGTAAATTCCCACCGATTCAAACCGGTGCAATTTTATTAATTTGGCACTGGTTTAGTTTGAACCGGTGCCATTTCTATATTATACTGAATTCCGCCTAATTTTTATCCCACCGGTTCTTAAAAACCGGTGCCAATAACTCAGTGTGCATTTGTATTTTTCTACTAGTGTCATTCTCTTTTTGTCTTAGCATTTCAATTTGTCTATAATCAGTTTCGACTTGTATGTTGCATTTATACCTATCAATGAAAGCGTTTACCATCGATTCCCAGGTAGAGGTTTTTTCTTTGTCCAGGGAGAAGAACCATTGTTGACAAACGGTTTCAAGAGATAAGGAAAACAAGGAATGAAAGACTTTCTTATCAATCCACATAATGTTCATTATAGTTTCAAAGGCTCTTAGATGAAAATAAGGGTTGTCAGTTGTCTTGAATTTCGGGATGTCGTTGGCATTGAACTTCTGCGGAACAAGCTCCTTGTCCACCGAGACCCCTTATGAACTAATGCCTTGAAATTTCACTAGTGGAATAAACCTCATCCGTAACGGGCAAAAAGGGGCAATTCGTAACAGGCAGCGTCCGTTACGGATGGCCATTGTTATTCGTAACGGGCACTGTCTGTTACGAATAATGAGTTATTCGTACGGACATTTCAAATTTGCGTTACGAATAACTCATCATTCGTAACTGACATTTCAGATGTCCGTTACGAATAACCCCTTATTCGTAACTGACATTTCAAATGTCCGTTACAAATAACCCATTATTCGTAACGGACATTTTAAATGTTAGTTACGAATAAGGGGTTATTCGTAATGGACATCTGAAATGTCGGTTACGAATAATTTTTTTTTGTATTAAAATAAGTCCTTATTCGTAACGGCACCTAAAACGCCCGTTACGAATAAGTGATTATTCGTAACTGACATCTTAAATGTTCGTTACGAATAGAGTTTTATTGTATATAATTTAACACTTATTTGTAACGGGCAACAAAAGTGCCCTTTACGATTGTAACTGACAATTTTGTTGCCCGTTACAAATAATTATTAAATTAAATTTTCATTTTATTTAATTTCGACAGCATGTATTTATATATAATTAATATATATTAATTAAAATTTGTTATTATATACCTGGTCCTGTAAATAAGCAATTATACCGAACAATCTTTCGTAAAAATTAATACGACGTAATATAAAAACTGAAGTAGTAACACATTACAAATAAAAACTTGTATAAATTTATCCAACATATACAACAACACTAAAAATATTATGTTGTTCTACCTAAGCTAATAGTTATGCATTAAATAAATATTTACTTCTAAAGTATTGCGCCCATTGTTCTCGAACCACATTCAACTCGTCAACATCATACGGGGCGGTCCTTGGACAAAAATCCTATTGAAAAAAAAAAACATATGAAAGAGGTTACAAAATAAAAACAATCCATAATAAAAACAATCATTAGAATAAATGTGATGAACCAAATTATAGAAATAAAACTCATAATATAGAAACAAAACACATAACATCTTTAATTGACTTATAATTTTGATTTCTATGAGTTGAAATCAATAAAAAGTTAACATTTACTCACTTTTGGGAGCGTATAGAGCCAAAAAGGCTTCAAAATTGTGCTAAAGGACTTCTATCTTTCCCATCTTTCAAGTATTGGTTCAAATTAACACAATGTAACACATAACATCCTTAATTATCTTATTAAAGGTGATTCATATAATGGATATCTGCCAACCAGCTTCAATACTATTAAGATCTTCACCGAAGGAGCCTCCCAAAATCCAGACTTGAGACAAGCTAAACTCATTGGGCTGCTAAATTTTAGGTTCCCAAACGTTTATGGTTTCCTTTGCTCCGTAATACTTGTCTCCTTCAACATATGCAATTGCATGCTGTTAACCAAGTCAAATGAAAATTAAGAATTACGAATTAAGAAATAAAATGAATATACTAGTATTTATTTAAGAAAAAAGAGTGCAATGTAGACATATAAGAATAGCAGCAGTACTAGAATTAAAAAGGAAGGAAGGAAGAAGAGACATGATGGCCGCATTTGTTGACAAGGTCGGGATCTGGAGACCTGGGCTTGGCAAAGCGGTGATACTTCTTCCTTCCATATCTCTTAACAGAAGTGGCCCTTAATACATCCTCCTTCTTGATTCTCCTAATGGGGATAGTACCCTCAGGACATTTACCACTAGCGTGCCACAGCTAAGTGATTGGATTGCTTTGCGGTTCAGTTCTAGAATTAATATTGACCTTGCTCTCCCTAAAAAGCCCTTTAGGATGGTAATTAGGCCTCATCTATGAAGGGAAAAAAGGTGTTGGTGTCCTTAAGTATTATTTTAGAATATTATAACCCTTAGGAACCCAAAATCTCACCTGAAACATATTCAAATACTTAGAAAAAAGTACAGGCAATAAAGGCTCCCATGTAAGTGCGTCATACTTTAAAAGTTAAAGAAGCAGAGAATCTCCAAGATAATAGCAAGAGGAGCATGGAGCATACCAAAAATAACAAGCCTTACTGTGAAAAAGGCTTAACAATCATGATATATCACCAACAACACCAACGGTATAATGAAAAAGAAATCACATATAATCACAGTAGCTGTTACTAGAAGCAATAATGATTATAATAAGATAAAGTCAGATCTGAAATGTAATGATCATAGAGTCTTGTTTCAATAACACAAGATAGGATGCACTAAACTATATTTCTGAATATTACCAGATTTAGGATGGCGAAGAGAGAGAAACTGCCCTGCATCTGTCCCAGATGTACCATTGTCTGTAGATGGATGTAAAAAATGTTACAACATGAAAACAGTAGAACAAATATTTTATCAAAGGTATCATATTTCCAGCAACAACACTTCGAGGGGGAATGCATTGTAGATAAACTTTTAACATTTAAGCATGATGCAACAGACCCGAGGTAAATAGTTTTAGTAAACATAATGGAAGGTGCTAAAGTAATAGTTCCAACACCCCTATAAAGAGATCAACAAGTGCCAATCACAAAACAAAAATACAATATTCTGTTCTAATACTCCCTCCATTTTATTATATTTTTGTTCTATCCATGTTCCATTTTAGGTTTTTCTTTTGTTCTATCCACTTCTACTTTACTCCAATTTTCGTAAACACTTTTTACCATCATCCCCTTTATAGTATATCGACAAGAAAAATGGTAGTTTGAACTGCTTAGTGTTTGAATTTGTGCTTTTATAGTAAATCAAAATAAATTTTGCAAAATTCTTTAGTAATTATTTTGTTCGGTCTATGTTTTGCTAGCTTGATTAGTTTTGATTGTGATTGAGGGAGATAAAAGTAAAGTGTTCATTCCAAGAAGAGTTTCAAATTAGGGATAATACTGAATTTCTCCACAAAGGGTCTTCAATTATTTTCATATTACTATGATAAATATGTCGCTTGAATGAAGAAAAATGCAGGAGGGGTAAAATGCTCCAGTTGACAAGTAAACAAAATTCTGAATATTACAGTTTCTCAACTAATATTCCAGTATAATCCTAAACAGTTCCCAATCACTCACTGGAGGGAAAAGCATCTCAGTAGTGGGAGTTTCATACTCTTCAGTTCCTTTATAAGGCACATTCAGATTCAGATCGTGAACAGGAGTTATGGCAGCTCCCGACCCCGGCTTCGCCACTATCGGCCTTTCACTGGGCTGCAACACACTGTCGGCTTGCATCATTTTGAGTTCCCAAATCTGTAAACAAACCGCATAAAATAACACATCAATTTCACGAAAACACATCTGAATAATTTGTAACAACACCAATCTCACTCCAAATTAACACTAATGAAACCGAACACCCTAATTAAACACCAAAATCACATTTAAAAGTAGAAAAATGAATTCATTTCTTCTAATTAACAACACAAGTTACATAAACCTTGCAGTTCTTGGAGGACTTTTTCGCTGGGACCACCTCGGCAACGAACTCTTCGCGAACTTTCTCGATGACATCCTCAATGACATGGATGTAAACAACGCTACTAGTTGAGGCCGTCATTTCTCAAAAACTTCAAAAAAAAATTCAAAAAACTCCGAGATTCTCCGGATATCTCCGCCCAAGATAACCAAATCGGAGCGATTTAATCGAACTCGGACATAATTTCTCAATGACATGGATGTAAACAGCGCTAATAGTTGAGCATCGCTGGATTTACGAACCCTAGCAATAATAGAATTTCCCACGATTTTGGGACCCTGGCAACCGACTTTGCTTCAACGGATCTTTGCTTCAATGGAGAGAGAAGGGAGCTGCAATTCAATGGAGAGAGAAGGGAGCTGCGCTTCAATGGAGAAGGGAGCTGAGCTTCAATATAGGAGAGAGAAAGAGAGGGGAAATATTTTGACAGCGAGAGTGAGAAAGGGGAAATTAAAAAATTAGGGCTTTGAAACTTATTCGTAACGGACACTCTTTGATAGTTACAAATAATTGGGTCAAAATTTAGTTGACTTTTCTATTTGTAACGGGCAAAAGTTGTAGGTTACGACTAGTTGGTTATTTGTAACGGGCAGTATAGTGCCCGTTACAAATAACAACTTATCCGTAACGGGCACTAATCTGCCCGTTACAAATATGTCTTTTGCTGCTCAAGTCACCGTTTTTTTGTAACGGACATTGATTTTGCCCGTTACAAATGATGTAATTGTAACGGGATATTATATGTCCGTTACAAATAGCCTGTTACAAATAAGATATTTTCCACTAGTGTTTGTAGTCACTAGATAGTTTGCTCAAGCTCTCTTGCATGAGCTTCATTTGTTGTTGCTTCATAGGGTCATTGATTTTGAAGGTTAAAAACTTCAATGCCTCAGTCACGGTAGTCAATTGATTCTTAAGTTCGTTGACTTCTTCTTGAGTTGCCATTATCTTTTTAGCTTTCCTCTTTTGACGAATCGGTTTATCAAAAAGTAAGATTGAATAAAGAGATTGTCCTTGATTAATCGCCCTTCTCTTCTCGACCATGTACTCGATTCAACATGCAATGGATGGAGGAAGTGAAAAAAGAT